AATTGCGAGGCATCAGTTGTAACAAGGTGCAGAGGCCTGGCACAAGAGCATAAGTGAGCGCAATGTGTTTCAACAGAAATTGCAGTGACTATTCTCAAACGCTAGTCAAAGGGGAAGCAAAGGATGCCTAAATCTTAGCTACCAACGCGGAGATGCACTGGGATTCACTGATTGCCAATTGCTGAGTTGGAATTGCTGTGAGTTAAGCTTACTCAGAATCCAGACGGTGTACGAGTTTATCAGCTTACCCCCAACCAGCTAATCGGTAGTCTGTGCTGGCTCGCTTACGGCTCAGTTGAACACTGCTGAAGCGTGTTTGGCTGCTGATTGCGACTCCTTTCTAAGGATTAATTCAATCCAGCAGCAGATTGCTCGCCAGTCTACGTTTCAGCGGTTGCAGCGGGCATTACTGAGACACCGCCTTGCTTCCTCGAAAGCCAGAATTATCTCCTGTCATGCTTTGACCACCCTATCGATCTACTGCCACCTTGAACCAGAGGATTTGTTTCACGTCTCGTTATTTCCGCGTGCATAGATGAGTGGATTCCTAGGCTAGAATGCAGGTTTCGAAGACCAGATGCACCCACGAACTGAAGAGTAGTGTGGCGTATGCTGGCGATGGAAGTGAGAGCAGTGGCTCCGCCACTGGATGCCGTGCACTCCCCTTCACATTTATCGTCTCAGCATAGTGAATAATCGCATGTATCCCACTGGTTCCTCATGCAGTGAACCAAACTCGGTGTCATTTCGCAAACTCTACATCTGCAGCACTTTCCTGTAGATTCTGATCCTCCTGAGGTAGTCTGCTGACCGTACAAGTCGTCAGTGCATCAGAGCTGTTGCTGCCACTCAACTCGTGCTAATTTTTACTTGTTGTCGAGAATGTGATTATTCTCATCGCTCAGCGCGGTGATCAAGTGAACTGCGGAGGTAAGCTGCAAAGACAACCATGATCCATGCTTTTCTCAATATAGCATAGGCGATGATGACGGGGTTAATGAATGGCAAGCGAATTTGACAAAATGTGTCCGAGGATCACGATTTCTATTTCACCGTTAGCTGAGAGAGTTCCGAATCAACCCAACGCAATGACTTTGCTGAGAATAGTTTCCACCCGTTTAACTCCTCCTCCTCCTCCTCCTCCTCACCCTCGTCACCATCTTCCCTTTCTCACCACTCTACTGATATTCTCTTCGCGCATTTACCAGCGCCTAGTATTGCTGGTTCCTACTACATTCTCACACCTCAGTCAAAGACTTCCGGCATGAGGAAGAGGGTGAAGTGTAAGCAGGGTAGGCGAAAAAAGGCACTTGACTGAGCATCAGTGAACACGAAGTCTGAGTGAAGAAGGAGGGCCGCGCATACACATGTTAATAGTGTGTTCTTTCCGGTTGGTTGAATCGGAACTCCTCAGATCAACGGTGATACTGAAATCGTGCTTCTTAGGTACATCCAGTCAAATCCTTATGCTACTCAACAATTCGGCGGTAGTTGCTTTGTTCCTCGGTATGTAACAATTTGTTGTGTTTGCTGCATCCGCTGTGAAATTATGGCAAAATTGCAAGTCTCCGAGCCTTTGGTGATCAATCTTACCTTCATCGCTTCCCAATGACCATGCTCGAAATTTGGTGCAATTCTTTGTTTATTTGAAATGTTGAGCGTTCTCTTCCACGAATATAAATTTGATGCTTGTCTACTTGCCTGTCACCGTTGCGGACGTCAGGTGCAATCTTAGCTACCAACGCGGAGATGCACTGGGATTCACTGATTGCCAATTGCTGAGTTGGAATTGCTGTGAGTTAAGCTTACTCAGAATCCAGACGGTGTACGAGTTTATCAGCTTACCCCCAACCAGCTAATCGGTAGTCTGTGCTGGCTCGCTTACGGCTCAGTTGAACACTGCTGAAGCGTGTTTGGCTGCTGATTGCGACTCCTTTCTAAGGATTAATTCAATCCAGCAGCAGATTGCTCGCCAGTCTACGTTTCAGCGGTTGCAGCGGGCATTACTGAGACACCGCCTTGCTTCCTCGAAAGCCAGAATTATCTCCTGTCATGCTTTGACCACCCTATCGATCTACTGCCACCTTGAACCAGAGGATTTGTTTCACGTCTCGTTATTTCCGCGTGCATAGATGAGTGGATTCCTAGGCTAGAATGCAGGTTTCGAAGACCAGATGCACCCACGAACTGAAGAGTAGTGTGGCGTATGCTGGCGATGGAAGTGAGAGCAGTGGCTCCGCCACTGGATGCCGTGCACTCCCCTTCACATTTATCGTCTCAGCATAGTGAATAATCGCATGTATCCCACTGGTTCCTCATGCAGTGAACCAAACTCGGTGTCATTTCGCAAACTCTACATCTGCAGCACTTTCCTGTAGATTCTGATCCTCCTGAGGTAGTCTGCTGACCGTACAAGTCGTCAGTGCATCAGAGCTGTTGCTGCCACTCAACTCGTGCTAATTTTTACTTGTTGTCGAGAATGTGATTATTCTCATCGCTCAGCGCGGTGATCAAGTGAACTGCGGAGGTAAGCTGCAAAGACAACCATGATCCATGCTTTTCTCAATATAGCATAGGCGATGATGACGGGGTTAATGAATGGCAAGCGAATTTGACAAAATGTGTCCGAGGATCACGATTTCTATTTCACCGTTAGCTGAGAGAGTTCCGAATCAACCCAACGCAATGACTTTGCTGAGAATAGTTTCCACCCGTTTAACTCCTCCTCCTCCTCCTCCTCCTCACCCTCGTCACCATCTTCCCTTTCTCACCACTCTACTGATATTCTCTTCGCGCATTTACCAGCGCCTAGTATTGCTGGTTCCTACTACATTCTCACACCTCAGTCAAAGACTTCCGGCATGAGGAAGAGGGTGAAGTGTAAGCAGGGTAGGCGAAAAAAGGCACTTGACTGAGCATCAGTGAACACGAAGTCTGAGTGAAGAAGGAGGGCCGCGCATACACATGTTAATAGTGTGTTCTTTCCGGTTGGTTGAATCGGAACTCCTCAGATCAACGGTGATACTGAAATCGTGCTTCTTAGGTACATCCAGTCAAATCCTTATGCTACTCAACAATTCGGCGGTAGTTGCTTTGTTCCTCGGTATGTAACAATTTGTTGTGTTTGCTGCATCCGCTGTGAAATTATGGCAAAATTGCAAGTCTCCGAGCCTTTGGTGATCAATCTTACCTTCATCGCTTCCCAATGACCATGCTCGAAATTTGGTGCAATTCTTTGTTTATTTGAAATGTTGAGCGTTCTCTTCCACGAATATAAATTTGATGCTTGTCTACTTGCCTGTCACCGTTGCGGACGTCAGGTGC